GACCGGAACGTTGGGACAGGACTGCAAGGTTCACTGTGCAAAGACTTGCTTGCAGTTCCTACGGAGCACCTCAAAGTTCGAATCCCGAACGATGCAGCACGTGCCCGAAACATGTCTATGGTGAAGAGATCTCGGTGCAAACACTGAAGTGACACGAGGGATGTCTGAGGGGCTCACTGGCAGGGCCCCGCGCAAAACTCATCAGCGTAGGGATTTACAGATCCCTAGACCTTTGAGCCCCAAACCAGAACAGTCCAGTTAGGCCTTCATCCCACACAGCTTCTCCGAACCTCATGCAAAGCTCAAGTCTGGGCCATCGGCGCATCAGCGGTGCAGCGACACAGCTCCGACAGCCTCAGCCGCCAGGACTCTTTCTGGTACTGGTACTTGGGGATTCAGCTTGAGGATTTCGCATGGTTTAGAGCCCTACAGTAGGGCCCAGGATGTTGAGGCTTGTAGCTTCATGGGAAGTCTTGCGGATTAGAGGGCTTTGATGCCTCGGCGCCCCAGGGCAAGGCTCGAAGAGTTTGGCTGAAAGGGCTTTTGATCTTGGGTTTACGGTTTCGAGTTTCCCTGAACTGCGGAACCAAAAGCCTCCGAACAAAAAACAGATGATCACTGATCGGAGGGGCCCCAGGCACAAAACACAGCTACGTCCGAACCTCCCAAGGCCGAACCCTCAAGACTCCACACACCGCAAACGACAAAACCCCAACCCAACCTGGCATACTGTTTCTTATACCAACCCCATAAGGCCCTGTTCTATATTCTTAGTGTTACTCGACATGGGCCCGAGACTTGAAGGCCGTCGTTGCACCAGCGAGGTGGCCTAAATTTCGGACCACCTGGCCAGTGGGTGCTTGCGGTTTGGGGCTGTTTCGGAGTTGCAAAGGGGGGTTTTGTGAAGGCTGCCATGCACTCCCGACTGTACATCGTAGGAAGCGGAGGAACTCTTGCTGCTGCATCGGCGCAGTTACCAGGTGCGATTTGAAGTCTGCGTTGTTTTGTAACATTTTTTGATTTAATTCCCAAAAGATCCCGTCTGAAGTCCCTGAACTGTTGAGGGCCGGTGTGGTCAAGGTAGTGGTGATAAATGGGCAGCGGTCTTTCTACCGTGAGTTCGAACCAACAGCGACATGGATGTCCTCTGTTCTTAGATTTTGTGAATTTGACCCTATCCTTGTATCCACGAGAGAATACGACATGATGCATCGGGTCTGTCGGCGACTTAGCCAAGATATCCGTAAGCTGCTGTAGTTGCCGAGTAAGGAGAGCCTACGAAGGTAGGGTGGGCCTGCCAGCTGCTTTCCATACTCTTTCGTTGGTTACCTGGGAGTAATATGAGGCTTTGACCCCTACACATCGCCGCAGGCAACGATGGAACCCGGCATCTATGGTTCTAAGGTGTTTGTTCTCGAGCGTGATGACTTCTAATTAGGCCATAGTGGAGAGCCGGAACTATACTATACTGGCCATGAACAGCTACTTTAGTCTGCCGCGCCAGACGTTCTGAAGCTTCAGATATGCTATGTGGGCTTTGGCTTTCCCAGCGTCGATAGTGACTTTGCTGGGATGGGCCCAGGAGATTTGAGATCCGAGAGATTAAGCCTCTGCATTGTTTACTACTGCGTCCCCATTGATATAATGTACGTCCCCCGCGGGGACCTGTCGGCTGAGAAGCTCTGTTTTGGTTAGGCTGAGGGTTCAGCCATAAAGCCATATGCCATAAAGCGAAGGCTCAACTTGGATAGCTCTTAAAAAGTTCCTCTCCTTGCGGGTTAGTCTTGGCTAATAGAAGTGACGCGGTCTGTCCGGGGGCCTTTATGCGCTAAAGGTCCTTGATAACATCCGTAATTGCGGGGTTTAGGGTCCAGGGTGGTGGTTCAGCTTAGGGCTTTCTAGAGCCACGGTCCTCTTTGCTGTTGGTAGTGAGCTGGTCACAGGCATTTTGTGATCCTTGTCGCTGTGTTTACAACGCGCAGCTATGATTCCTAGTGTATTCGTTGCTTCATACCCCTTCGGTGCAGCTTGCAAGAGGAAGCCGGTGGCGACGCGCGAGTTCTCGCACGACAAACGACACAGCCGAAGAGAAACGCTGTGGACCAAAGGCTTAGACCCTATGCCTTCATGGGCCCACAGCTCACATGCCACACGCCGGCGTCCGTCCTCTGTCTGGAGGTTCATCATGCGCAGTTGAACTCTACTTTAGCTCCGGTTGAACGGCGACAAGACTCTGCCCGCCGGCACTTCACCAAAACCACCGAGTACCAAACACAAGCACCAAAGATTTTTCACGGATTCGGGCCTGACAGGTTGGCTTACGTGCAGTAGTCACAGTTGCCCAAAGCTCCCGCGAAAATGTCCGCGCCGCGAGCCTCTTTCAGGTGCAAAGCGATGCTGGCCTCAGAGACGTCTTCAGAACCACAACTTCAACAGAGAAACCCTACTCGGGGTCGTGGTTGCAGTTGTAGTACTTCGTGGCCTTTGCACCGACTACTGCTTGATTCAACACAGACAGAAGCTTGCACTGACAAAAGTACTGACTCGTGTCTCTCGCCCTCTGGCAAAAGAAGCTGAGTAACGGCGGGTCGCTCTCGCTCCTGCGCAGCTAGAGGTGTTGCGAACTCACCGTTTCTTGACTTCAAACTCCATAATTAGCTCAGAGCACGAGAGGGGATATTCTTCTTCATTGGAGAAAGCCAGAGTTATCCAATCGCCCTAGTTTGGGCTTGGATTCGTCCTCCGCGCGCCACATCACCCCGATGAGGTGCGCCAGAAGCCTGGAATGCAGGGTTTCGGTTCTTGGGTCTCGGGTCCAGGGTGTTATGGGGTGTGAGGTTAAGTGCAGAGTGTAGGATTTGCAATGTAGGCTCGTAGGATTCAGGATTTTGGATGTCAGAGGATTCAGGGCCGGATGATGACGATGATGATCATGCCGATGTGGTGGTGCGATGGCGTAATGATGCGATACACGTGCTTTGACCTGGTATGATAGGATATGAAATGGTGTGAGATGGCATGATGTGACAGGAGATGAGATGACATGACAAGATGCGACAGCACATGACAAGGCATGATGCGGTATGATATGGTATCATATGATACCACAGGAGGTGAGACAAGCTGAGATGACATGGCATGCCACGTGGTATGGTACAGGCACGGGATGGGATGGCCTTGGCTTGGCCTTGGCTTGGCGTGGAGCGTGGCGCGTGCCGTGTCGCGGTGTGGTCTAGACTTCACGTGACCTCACCTGGCCTGACCTGAGGATGGGGACGCTGACGATAACGCTTCAAGTGCATGGCGCAAGTTCGATTGATGGTATCCGCGTCAGGCAGTGGATTCGTTGATGTCGGCATAGCTTTGCATAGCATACCAGTACTACAGTAGCAGACTAGCCGGTACGGCGAGCAGTCCTGCTACTATCCACATCAATAGATTACATTATGTGCCAAAGCCCCTGAAATGGTGTGCAGTTGTTCACATTTCTCCGGCTTCTCTTGACGCAGGACGTGGGTCAGCAGTTCCATCTCTGCCGCTGTAGCCTCTTGAGCCATATTCATATGCGACATTCTTCATGAAGACTTGACCCACTGCGAAACGTTCAGATCCCTCTCCGATGGTGGCCACGCGGTGCGGGTCTGGGCCTGCGCGGGTGTACCAAACGAGTCGGAATGCACCCACCCGTTTCGGCAAGAAAGCTTGGGATTGAGCGAAGCTCTGAAACAGCAGTCAGCGAGGGAAACGCGTTCCTGCTGTGCTGCGACAGACCAGCTCCGTAGCAATAGCGGATGCCGTCCTTTCTGGAGCGTCGGGTTTAAGGGGCTAATGCGGGGTGCGCGACGTGAACTCAGCGTTCTACTGTAGTCTTCACGATGTACACTCCTCCAAGATTTGTGCAGGTGGATCATATTAAACCACGTTGTCAGCTTGCCAGTTTCGAGCTGTTCACGCTAGATCGTCGTATCAGTGCTGACAGCACTGATCTTTGTTACCAGGATCCAACCCAGTGCAGAGTCCTAAAACACCACTGCAGCAGTCACAGTCGGCGCCCTCGCCTGCTAGAAAGAGCCGACTTGCCGTACACGGCCGTTGTCCCAGGGACCTGGCATGCGGATGCCCCCAAACCTGTGTGGATGGGAAGGGTTGTCAATGTTAAGTGCCTGCAGCCTCTCTAGGTTTGGAAAAGAGAACTTTACAAGACGAATCTCAGAAGTCAAAGCTCACTTCATCCGCAAAAACCGTCTGCGCCCCATGGAAAACCCCAAACTGCCTGAAACCTCCCTACATGAACCTTGGCCTTGAACCCCTCATCCCCACAACGCCGATCCTTCTCCAAGGCCTCGGCTGTAGCGCCTCAAGCGCAGATGAGGAGTCCGACCAGAGGTATAGGTTGTACGATGTACGAGAAGCTTCGCTCCGAGGCTTAACGGATGAATCGATTCATCTTTGGGTCCGGGTCCTACCTTGCAGAGCCAGGTGACCGCCGTCTGCGTACCTTCAATCACTCGGGCCTAAATGCGAAGAACTTAGAAATGTACCCTCAACCGATCTAGAGCGTGAAGTACTTTTCGGATGAGCTCCTCTCCTGCCAAACTCAACTCTAAACTCTAGATCCCAAACCCTGAAGCCCCGTAAACCCCATAAGGCTGGGTCCCACAAGGCCCTGTGGCGCTACCCAAGACGTGCAAGCCCAACGAAACCGCATAACACCACGTTGTGGCCTTGCAACCCTAATAAACACTAAACCCAAAGCGTGGAATGTTTCTCCCTGCATTCCCGAACCTTGAGAGGCAAAGTCTGAGTTTTTGACTTCGGCTGGCCGGATTCGGGGACTCCTTCTCAACGCATTCAGCTGGAGGGTGTCTGTTGGAGGAGAGGTTGGGACGAAGGTTTCAAGTTTCGAGTGAAGGCTTCGGAATTTAATTTACGAGTCCACATGGTCATTGTGGGCTCACTGTCACGATGTCCTCGGGCATGATTTTGGGTTTCCCGGGCTCCTCGTCCTCATGATGGACCAGCTCCTCTGCGGACTAATGGCGGGTGGGGGGGACAAAAGCAGGAAACCTCGGATCCCTTAACGAAGATGGAAGCACGTGCGACAGCAGAATCAGTGGTGACTTCAAGTCAAGCAGGCCAGCCACTCCGAAAGCTTAGGGTTCGTGTCTGAGAGGTGCTTCGATTACACTGTGGCTGTGACCCCACCACCAGCCAGCACAAAGATGGCAGCAAACAAGCATCCGCGCAAAAGACCCTTCCGCTTCGTGTGCCCCGCCCGAGACTAGGTTGTCACACAGAATGTGGGACTCATGGCTTGAAAAAGGCTGTCCTTGGAATGATGTGAACAGCTTACACAAGCGATGCTCGACACGAACCCTCAAAGAACAACGTCTGCTTATTTGCATTACTCAGAATGAGGCTACGGATTTTTGGCACTTCCCTGGTCGAAAAACTAGCGTTCACACTACAGTTTCATGTGATGTATGGTCTCGCACAAGTTGTACATCAGAAACGTGATCGTGTATACCGGCGCGAGAGTGCAAACATGCTTGTGGGACATTTACCCGTTTGGGAGACATCTTTTTGCCTGCGTTGTAGCACCTGCAAGGACCTGCAAGACTCATCTGCTCAGGGCCTTGTCCTGGAAAACTGACAAGTGACGGAACTGTACAGGGGCAGCATCTCAAAAGTGCCCGTCGGCTCGTAAGCATCGCTGCTGGCTAGGCCATTCTCGAGATACCACGCCGTGGCCGACCCGATATGGCCTCCTAGGTCTAGCAAGTCCCTCCTTCGGGGCATGAAGAGTCCAGCGCCACCCAAGGGCCTGTAGACCTGTCTCTTGAAGGCGACTGGGCTACACTGCGGCTACACTCCTGCCTGAAGCGGCCACTGCTTCCCTGCCCGCTCGAGCCTCAGTCACCGATCATGGAAACGTAGCTCACTTTGAGGCCGCAGTCCTCGCCGTGTCTTGTCCGGACAAGCGCGGACTTCGAGTATGCACCTCGGTGAGGAATGTTCGCACGTCCTCCATCTGATAGCCAATGCATACCCGCCGCTTTGTCCTTGGAATGGCGGGAGGCTCGCGGGCGGCGTGGAAGATGAAGCAGGGCGCACTCGGCGCGTAAGAGGATGCTGGTGCGTCGGTATGGACACCATGAAGTCCAAGTTCGCCGCCAAGTTCCCCTCCCGTGTCCAGAACTTTGGACCCGTGACGCCTGCTGCTTCCAGGTGGAGGTGTGTGAACCCGCCAGATCGCAGAGCATCCAGAACTCCTGCGAACGCCGGGCTCACGCCACTTGTTCACCACCTCGCAACGGGCCTTCTCCATGCTCTTGTCTGGGCCTACAAAATGCACAAGATTGTTGCTTGTGTCCAAGTCCTTGCAGTCTTTGTCTCGGATGACCCAGAGTCCTTCGCCGGACTTCATCAGGAAGTGCTGAGGCGCCTGCCAGCGCTTGAGGCAAGGGCTCCTGTTGTACTCGCCGAAGTATTCGTAGCATCCAGAAAGTCCTCGAGCTGTCGCTGGAAAGTGAAGATATGCAGAGCCACGCCTTTAGCAGAAGCAACTTTGTTTCTTATCTCTTGAAGCCTCATCGGCAGCACTTGTACTGGTGCAATCACACTGCCATTCGCCACGTTCCAATGCGTCAGGTCCTGCGAGGTTGCAACCGTTGCCTGGTGTGGCTGATGACCCGCATCTTCTCTTGGACACGGAAGAAGAGGTGAAGCGTGTCGTTCCAACAGTAACCCGCATCATCGGGAACATCGGACCACCCGGAACGAAGTACTGCGCGAGTTGAAGATCTTTCAGCTATTCCCGGAAAGTGAAAATATACGAGACACCTGAAGCGGAGGCGAGTTTGTTGTTCTCTCCTGAGGTCTCGTCTGCAGCACTTGTATTGGCGCGGTGACACTGCCAGTCGCCACTTTGCATTCCTTACGGAAGTCTACGGCTGGGCCTGAAGAGAACAGTGCTAATCACAGACCTTAAGTAAACGAGTCTTGAAAACTCCACTGCTGTGTCTCTCTGCTTTTGGTCACGGTGTCTTGAAGGCTTTGCTGTTGACATCTGTCAAGCTGTCAGATCAAGACCAGAGCCAGAACTTGCATTGATACGAGCTTTCACCTTGCAACTGCTACCGCACCGATCTCTAAGAGTTTGCAACTGCAGAAAAATTGAGGTTTAGGGCTGCTTCAAGGCTAATCAGGGCGATAGCAAGCAGCAGATGGTTCCGCTTGCCACTTTAGCACCCGCGTCCTGGGGAGTCTCACGGTCAGCTGGCTCCATGAGGAAGGTGGACCGGCAAGCCTCAGCACAGGACAATGACAACGGTACGAGGCTCGGCCGAGGCACACAACCGCACACACACACACACACACTCACTAACACCGCAAACCCACTTGAACCCTGAACGTAACACTCCGAAAATGCCAGCATCCCCAACTGCTCCGAAACACGACCCGTAACCATGAACATGAAGCCCGAGAACTGGGAACAGAACCCCACAGCCCTAAAGTATCGTCAGCTAATTTGCTCGTTGCAGTGCAGGGACATAGCATGCCAGCACCTGCTAAATGTCTAGACGGCCTCCTAGCTCCTAGGCTCTTGTGGGTGGTGCAATAGGTCCCAATAGGTCAAGTCAGACGATGCAATGTCTGCTGCAAGTATTATGCTCATCGCACTCGCAATGCGACTGGGTTGGTCGTCAACACAAACTTTGGCGGCTCCTTTCTGGAGTTGGGCCCATAATTTTTGTCCAGCTGCAACTGCGCATCTACTTTCTTGGTGCAGGTGTCACTTCGCGTCAAACAAACGGCTATGCTCTGAAGTTCCTGCTAGAATGCCACGGCATCGAACCTCTGTTTGCCAGGTCTGAACCACTAGCGGTTCAGTTGCTCTTTCTTCCTAGCCTTCTTTGGCGCCGCGTTGCTTCAGACCGGTGGGGCAGTCACCGACTCGGAAAGACTCATGTGAAAGGTTTTTGGCCCAGATATAGAGCTTGTGGAGAGAAGAGGTGCGGCACAATTGCAGTGCAGGTGGTCGGTCTCGACTCCGTGCTGCGAAGGATACTTCGTCTTTACTGGCTCGGATCGTCTGCAACTTTGAAAAAGATGCAAACCGCCCACCGGCCACTGCCCCCGGTCGAGCTCGGCACTGAGGCGGCGCATGGAGAAGCGGCAGACAAAGCTGCGACTGCAGGTCCCAGAGCCTTCCGTTCCGGGCTGGGCTGCCGGGTTTGAGCATTCTTTCGGCTTCACAGGGTCAAAGGAGTTTAGGGTTTCGGGTGTTGGGGCTTCAGGGTTAACTTCGTTGCGGTTTTCGGGTCCGGTCGGACTAAGGCCTCAGGTTGACGATTCACGGCATACCAGTAGGTCCTGGGCTTCACAGGTTGGAGCTTGGGCTTTGTACTAGTGCTCGAGCTTGGGCACGGTGTGGAAGTTTGGGGTCTAGGACGCTCGGATGTTCGAGGATTCTGTCCGCAGAGAGGTCGGGTTACCACCTCTTCGGGGTTGATGGGTTCTAGAGGGCTCCTGGTTTTTTCGGTTTTTTGGGTTTGTAGTTTAGGGCTCACGCCCGACCCTGAAATTCCAAGGTGAAGGAGCATGTTGCAACTACACTCTATGTCAGCTCTCCAGTTCTACTGCACGGTTTTGGGCGGCGCGGGTTTGGGATATAGGGTGGGGCCGGGGGGGGGGGGGGGGGGGTTCGTGAACGGCGCAGGTCCTGAGTGCCGGGCGAGGGTTGCGAAGCAAGGGGCATGCGTCTTGTCGCAAGGTCCCAAGGCAAAAGATGTCTTAACGGAGAGCCAGCCCTTAACTGAAGTCCCTTAGACATTGCCTCGAGCCAAACTCGTACGGTGGCACTTTACACCGCATCGGCCCCTTACACTGGCTAGGCCCCTAACCTTGGAAACCCAACCGCGCAGACCCCCCGCAACCACAACGGAAGAACACTCTTCGCAGTTGCCGATCTCAACCTTTCTGGACAAACGCCTTTGACAGAATTATGAGAGGTTCCTCGAGGGCTGTGGTCCAATCGATGTCGTCCTGGGTAAACCAACACCCTTCTGCACCTAGACCTCGGCAACACCACTTGAACGGATTGGGAGCCTCTGCGACCACACGCACCTCAGGGAGGCGATAGCGGTAAAAGCTTACAGGCTTCAGATGTTGCACCCCACAAGATCCCTTTGTAGTCCAAACCATGCGGGAGTGACGAGCAACGCACAAGACGTGATGCTGGCCGTACAAACCTTCTCTCACACACGACTCTTAACTGCTCAGATGCTCTGTTCTAAACCTTGCTTTGACCGCCATCATTCCTGTCCTGCCTTCCTTCAACATGATCGCTTTTGCATCTCTTCCAGCACTCACAGTGACAGAAGTCACGACGAAACCTCAGAGATACCTCGAACCTCGACACTACAGAAGTCCAAACAAACCTGCACCTATCAAAGCGCATACCGAGCCGGCATCTGAGACACCCTAGACATCCTGAAAGGCCCTAAGTCTTGAAGCAAAACAGCTGACACTTCGCCAGGGTGCCGCTGCAGGGCTTCGACAGAGGCTCTGAAAGGCTGCGGCTTGCCTCAAGGATCCCTTTAAAGGGCTTCAAAGTTGAACGTTGGGGTTCGTACCTTGCAGAATGGATCGTAGGACCTGGTGGCTTCGAGCTGGGTTTCGCGAGGGAGATCTCGTGCGACGCAGCGATCACGACGCGTCAATGACATGACGACAACTGCAGCAGAATCCACAAGCAGAGGGCAACACACCGAACACCCACCAAACCCCAGACACCACCAACATACCCAGCCGTAGCCGCCCCCCTGATTAGAACAGGGTCTGCTGCATATCGCACAGGAATTACGCAGCGCCGACTGCTACGACTGAACTTGAAGGCAAGACCTCCCAAAACCCCGAACAATACCTACTGTTTGGCTTTTGGAGGTTTAGAACCGACCGGCTGCTGACCCTGAAGCTAAGGGTTCTGTTCAGCCGAGGCACAGTCTCCGGGAGCCTTGCTCCACCAGGTCCTTCGGTAGGCTTGGGTTTCGGTTGGGGATTTGGGGTTTGGGACAAAGTTTTGGGATCGAAGCGGACTTCAGGCTCAAGGCCAAGCCAGAGGGCCCTACTGGTGTCTCCAACCTGGCATCCATAGGCTTCCGAGCTTTGATGCAAAGAGGTTCGTGTTCGTTGAACGTATCGCGACTAATGGTGTAGAATTGCAGAGCTTTCGACCAACGACATAGCGTTACAGAGCATCAAAGTTCGCATATACTTTTTATTTTGGCTAACTGAGGACTGGATGTGCTTTGCAGAAGTCATGCAGCCTGCTACGAGTAGCAGGCAATGCCGCCATGGAGTGACGGGAAGCGGGAACGAAAAAAGGTTTCACAAGCGACTATGTAATGAAGGGCTTCAGCTCCAAGACCCCAAAATCCGAAACCTGAAATGGTAACCCAACCCAAGAGCGTCCTCGTTGGTCAGCACGCCTTTCCCCCGGAGGCAGTCGCACAGTGTGCTGTAGTCCTAGAGGTTGCAGAATGGATGTTGAAGCTTCAGAGTTGCACGCAACTCGGTCTTGGTGGCTGCACGAGTATTCTGGCTGTCACTGCTGATGCATTGCTTGTGCCGTGGCTATGTTGCTAGGTCTTGCTTCCCTTGCAACCACTACCAACTCAGCAATGCTACACTCACCATGATGCTCTTTAGTCGCAGTCGTTGCGGCGCTGAGGTCGCGCGCCTGCCACACGTCGTTGTCGCAAGGCAACAAATATGCCAAGTGGCAAGCACACGATTTCCGCATTGTCGGCCTATGGCGTCTAGCAGAGGTTTTCGGACAACATCGTGCGGGCGTGTCTCGATCCCAAAGTATGCACCGGCAGCATGGACGTGGTCATCGTGCGGGCATGCCCTAGTCCCAGAGTACCCACTGGTAGGACAGATTGCCCGCATAACCATACCATACTGTCCGGATTTGCTATGCCTGAGAATATTACCAGACTTGCAATGGTCACACTTGTTTTCGGCAATCCGATTCTCAAATGTACACGTCTAGGTTGTGGATCCGGAGTCGAAGCTTTTGTCTTTCCACGCAGCCCAAAGGCCCAAAATGCTGTGCAGCTGTTAGTACAACGAGTTTGCCTGCGAATAAATGAAGTGCAGCAGCTCTCTGTCTACAAGCCCGACGCTTGCGACTTAGACTTTGCAACCTCTTCCTCCGCTTTCGACTCTGTTGCTGCTCCTACACCTACCGCTACCTCACGGCTACTGCTATTACCGCCGCCACGGCTACTGCACCTCCTGCCACTGCCACTGCATGCCACTGATACTACATGGCTACTGCTCCTGCGACGACTGCTGCTGCTACTGCTGCCGCCGCGGCTGCCGCTGGCTGCCACTCCTGCTCCTGCTCCTGCTCCTCCTGCTCCGATTCCCATTCCGATTCCTACTCCTACTCCTACTCCTACTCCTACTACTACTCCTACTACTCCTACTCCTACTCCTACTCCTGCTGCTACTACTACTACTACTACTACTACTACTACTACAACTGTAGCAGTAGCAAGCGATCTGAGCGGAAGCGTGGGTCCTCCCGAAGCTGCTCGACATCTGCCAGGAGAGCCTCCGCAGGAAGAGCTTTCGGGGCTTCGGCGGAAAGCCAAAGGCGCAGGGCCTCTGGAAGTCCGGGTAGTGCGAAAGAGAAGGATGCAGGCTTCAAGGCCTAAGACTTATATTGGAACGTGAACCTTGAAGGCTCATTGCGCGCAGTTTCGGCCACGGGATTGCATTGCCAATCCTGGTTGTAGTTTCGGATGCTAGAATACATCCGGGAACACGTAGCAAAATGCCACCTACCTGTCTGCACAAAAGCATGCCTCTGGCCACATGGCCTATGCCGACAAACACAAAACTCAACGCTCTCTAGAGCCTTTAAGCTCGTTTCTGTCTCACGTCTCGTGCTGTAGCGTGCCGCTCTCGCGGAGCATCGAGCTACTCCGCTTGCGTTTCTGAAGCATGGCTTGCTCGCAAAATCACCCCATGTCAACGGTTCATTCTTCTGATGACCACCTGCAGCACTTGCAGAGCGCGACGACTGCCCGCGATCTTGCTCCATGTCGTCGTCACTGCTGGAGTCGATATCCTCGACATCCCCGGTGTTTTGCAAAAACTGGTCAACAAATTTTGCGCCAGTGCAGCAGTTTGGCGACTTTCTTGCACAGCTTCTCTTGGTTATTGCCACCATCGATGCGGTGGCGCATCATCCAAAAGACTCGTGCTCCTGCCTCCAACATCAGCTTTGTGGTGTGCTGCTGCATCTTGCGGCCCGAACTGGCGGCTGTGTGGAGCGCAGCGTCCCGCATCATGTCAAGATGTTGGGCCCGTACTTTGGGAGTCGCGTCTCGACGAGGCCGATGTCGCCTTCTGCGACTACCATGTGCAGCGGTGTCGACACCATGGTCGAGGCTTATGGCTCTGTGACCTTACACCTTACCTCCTCTATATGAACACGCAGCGGTACGAGACATGCAGTTGACAATCCCGGAAACGTGCTTCTCAATTCTGTCGAGTTTGAGGTAAAAGTATTGCGGCTGCTTAGGTGTGTAGGGTGTAGTCCGTCTGATCTCCCAGCGCGCCTTGAGAGATGAATCCGAGTTCTCCGAGGCTGTCGACAGGCTCGTGGCGTAGCTTGCGGCATGGGAGTCGGACAAGGAAGATCTGTCAGAAGCACGGCTCAGGAACATACTCTTTCTCTCCCTCTCTCCCTGTCTCTGTCTCTCTCCTGTTGGAAACCATCGACGTTTTGCTGTCGCTTCAAAGCTGCGAAGGACCCATCTCGGCATGCATTGCTTCTGCGATCTCTGTTCAAGATTTGATGACTGCGATGTGAATTCGCCTTGCTACGACCTGAGCGCCTTGCCCGAAACCCCGAAAACCCCCCGAAACCCTCCCCGAAAGCCCCCGAAAGCCCCAAAGCCTCGCCATGGGGGACCCCCGGCCTTTCCAGCTTCGACTCGAGGGCCCGAGCCTTCGCCCTCGACGGCACTTGGCTTGGGGCCATACGAGTAGTGCGCGGTTCCATTACGCAGCCTAAGAGTTTTGCAAAGTATTCCGACTACTACGTGTAATCGTAACGCAAGGTTCCTTTTGAGTGGGTTTGGCACGGGCTGAAAACCTGACACTATACATAATACAAAACCATGTGAGAATTTCAGGGGAGGCCACGTACAACATGATAACAGAAAACCTCAAGCATTCTTTGATGATGTGCTCAAAGCCCCAGTCCAACACCTTATCCTGAAGCCTCACCAAGCTCTAGTTTCGCATGAACCAAGCCGTGTAAGCCATCTCGAAGCAAAACCCATCATGGGCCGTGCTGTTGAGGACTTAGGGTTTGGGGTTTAGAGTCTTTAGAGTATAGAGTTTTGGTACGCCGCGCTGGCCGAGCCTCAGCCGCAGCCGGCGCCGCCGCAAGGCGAAGCCGGCCATCGGCCTCGTGGCCTCTCCCAACCACCTAACCACCGGTCACCAGCTTATTGTCACAGGCTGGGCGCCCGCAATTTGTCTACCATGACTGCTGCACTGTGCTTAGCAGGAGTGGTGTGATCATTGCTGCCTGCTACTCCCTACTGCCACTCTTGCCATGCTCCTGCTCCTGCTCCTGCTGCTACTGATGGTGCTACTGCTACTCCGACTCGCTACTCCCCAGTGTCAGGTCGAAAGCTTCAGGGAGGTCGCGCTTATGGTTTGGACGATGGCCTCGCCCCTTTTGGTGGCCAGGGCCAGAGGAATGGTAACCAAAAGACCACATAAACCTAAGGAACCATAAGCATCTCGCCATGAATGCTTTCTGCAATCCGCGGTGTAAGGAGATTGGGGCATCACTTCAAATCCTATTCCCCCCCACAGCCCAGGACATGGGATGCAGGCTGTTCAAGATATGCATGCTAGTTTCGGCCAGTTTAGGCCAGGGCTCTTGTTCAACACGTGGAAGACGACGGCACCCCCATGGCAAAGGATGCCTTCCTGTCACTTGAACTGGTCTCTGAGTGCATCAGGAATAAGTCAACGATTATCTGTTCTAGCCACAGAGTTAAAACAAGAAGACTCATCGCAACAATAATACCGTTAGCTTGCCTGCTATGATCGTTCTGCTGATCGACATTTTACAAACAACAGCCCAACGGTATACCGATCGCAACGCTGATAGAAGAGGAACTGCCACAGTCACGTTACCGGTCAAGAGAGATCTAGAAATCAGAGTGGCGTTATGTTGCTGCGCTGTCTGAGGTGGGGTGCTACCTTTCTTGTCCGAAGCAGCTTGAGCCGGAAGCCGGGGACTCGCGACTCGCAACCAATGGATCTCAGCACTGGCTGACAGCAAGCCTGAACTTGCTGAACATGTCTGAATCGTACTCAGCGGGTGGCCCGGACGCAGCTGCCTTTGTCTTGGGTTCTCTTTCTCACTGGTCCTGCGGTGCCTTGGAGATGAAAGGCTTAATCGGAGCCGAAGGGCCGGGGACGAAGGAGATCCAGCCTTCCCTCCAGTCCATGAGAGACCTCGCCCGCATCACCACGCAGGTTTGGGGCGTGATCTTCACCGGGTTCCCCTTGGCCTCGAAGACCTCGCCGGCCTCGAGCTGACGAAGGACCTCTGTGCCCTTCACGCTGGTCTTTAAGCTCACAGAGCGTTCCAGGAGGTAGTGGCTCTTGCTCTGCTCCAGGTACACGGTGCCCTGGTTCCCCTTCAGCGTCACCCAGCCTTCCCGGCCGTCCTGAAGCGCCCGGAACCGGAGCCGGGCCAAAGGGGACCCGGAGGAAGACGTGCTTTCGTCGCTCTCCAAGAGCTCAAGGGCCTCGCCGACACTCACCTCAGCAGTCTGCTTCCTTGTCTGCTACTTGTATCCCTTCGAGGCTGAGCGCAGCTCTGTGAAGTGGGACGCCTACCGGTACGTAGTTTGGCACAGGCCTCGCCTTCCTGATGGGTTTGCAGTTTGTGAGGTCGAAGTCCTGGGTCATGGCGATCACGGACTTGCAGACATAGTACCTTCGAAGCCCGCCCTAGATTGAGCGCGGCTGTGAGCGAGATAGGTTTGAGGTGTCGTGTCCATGGGTTGAAGCTCTATGGCAGCATGATGCATGAGCTACAACCTCGAAGCCCCCCGCAACGGTTTCGGTTTAATCCACCTCAAGTTACACTGCACTGAGCCCTGGAGCATCAACCATTTAAAGCTCCACGGTGCCGATCGCTGGGCGCCGGTGCATCGGAAAGCTCCTGAAAAGCAGAGGCACAACGCCTCCGCGGCTTAGGAGCAAGCCGAGAAGCCGCGGGTTCAGGCATGTTCACGGGCTACTATCACAACCAATTGCAAGACTCATCGCAGAAGCCGTGAAACACTCGCTGCGAGATGGAGATGGAGCGAGAGAGCGGGAGAGATGAGTAAGCCGAGTCCTGCAGGCAGATGAAGCCTTGCGCTGCATCCTTACATGCGGCGCCCTTCAAGAAGAGCTTAATCTCAGGGGCGACCTGTAAGAGCGAGAGCTTACGGGTCGAAGCGCTTGGGTTTCACAGCATGGCATCGGGCTTTGTGCGACTATGGCACTGAAGGGCTCAATGGGGGGGTGTTGTGTTTTGGGGGGTGCTTTGGGTTTCGGTGGCTTTTGACGCTGTAATAGCTGTAGTAGTGTCTTTGATATAACAGCATGAGCAACAGCAGCACCCGCAGCCACAGCCACAACCACAACCACAACAACCAACACAACCGCAAGCACAACAACCACAACCACAACCGAAACCCCAACAACCACCCACCCAACCACCACCACCACCACCACAACAACCACTACCACCACCCGCCGCCGCCGCAACCACCGCCACAACCGCCACCCCCACCACCACCACCACCACCGCCGCCGCCACCACCAACGACAACAACAAAAGGGCATGATACAAACAAAAACTGCAGCCCGTCAACCCATATATGTGCTTTTTGTCAACAACAACAACAACAACCACCACCAACACCACCACCAC